CTTATATATTTAACCTTTTATTTATATATATTTATTATATAACTATCCTTTTGTATTCGGTATTGTTTTCTGTATTGAAGGGTGCCAGAAAATCCTTGAGCTTTTGTAAGGATGACTTAAATGATAATTATTTTAATTAATTAAATTTTGGTTGGAGAGTTTAATCAGGTGTAAAATATTTAGTTTTTTTCAAGTTTAAAGATTTAAATATTTTAAAGTCTTAACTTTTATGGTTTATATAGTATAATAGTTTATATCGAATTAGATGAAAATTAACAAAGATTTAAATATAATATTATTATGATTAAATTTTTATTAAAAATTTTATCTCTGACATCTTAATTAAACTACTATTTAAAACTTTTATAATTAAAAATTAATTTATTATTTTAATTTTTTAATCAAATTTCAGAAACTTATTTATTCATAAATTTTCAAACAAAAAATTAATTAAAACAATATTTCAACTTATTTAATTGTCTCCTACTTCAAGAAGGAAATTTTGTCGTTTTTCCCGATATATCACCTTTTCCATTTATTTTTCCCTGTCAGGCACCCTTCAGATTATTTTTTCCGATCTAACACCCTTTGCAGTAAAGCGTGCCCCCTGCAGCGCGCTTTACGCTGATCTGGCGCCACGTGGGGTAAGGCGCGCCCCTGAAGCGCGCCTTATGCTGATTGGGATACACGTGTGTAAGGCGCGAGGAACCTGCGATCTGAAATGACACAAATTTTTTCCCTCGTGATAATATGTGCACGTAAGTTTCGGAGGAAAAAAGCCCAAGAATCTGTATATTCTCCTTCGACAAGAGCAAAAGCAACTGGAAGAATGTTGTGATTGCCATCTTGGACAACTGTCAATAATAAAACTTACTTGTATTTTTCATACAAGAAAGTCTCGTCGATCTGGACCACAGGCTTGCAATATTTGACAACGTTAACGCACTGTGGGTAAGTCCAAAAAACCCGGTAGAATTGGCATCGATCGCGTAGAACTCGATCATTATGGTATGCATAGGAGGTTTCAAAGTCCACAATTGTCCCAGGATTCAACGTCCGCACCAGCCTAAACCAACCTGGAAGTTCGTTGTAAGAGGCATCCCATTCGCCATGAAGTTTGACAATGACATTTTGTTTTTCCAACCAAGCTTTTTTATAGGAGACAGTGTACCCATACTGCGATTGTATAGCTGAAATCAACACTACAACAGCTATATGAGAGCTTGCTTTTACTATGGGCATGATGGCTTGGCATATCATTTCAGAGTCCAAGTTGGGATGATCTTGGTTGACCCCTCCAGCACAACATGTGTGAGGATCGTTGTATATTGTTAGTTCCCATCTGTTGTTTTTCCTCTTTGATACGCGAACCATCCAATTGCATCTGTTTTCGCGTCGGGCACAGTAGCATACATATTTTTCGGTCGTGGAGCGGTCGACTCTAGACTGAACAGAATTACGGATATTGTAATTTTTATAGCCGTCATCGCTTCTTCTTTGCTTGAAAACTCCATGCCTAAAGATAACTCACCATTATTTATTGATGAGTAATATCCATAGTCACCGAGATGAGGCATATCCGCAAATTCTGGCCCGTACATTGTACCATAATCAGCTTCATACATGTGTGTAGGAGGGTCAGTTTGTGCCACATTTCTTGGAACTTCATCTACATCATCATCATCGGAGTTGAATTGCGGTGATTATGGGTGAATGAATAGTCCAGTCTCAGCTCCATCCGCACCAGGCTCACGAAGCGGTTCTTCTGGTGGAGATGATGGTTCCTCCATGCTCTCCACATTTAGGTCGAAGAACCTACTACTTGCACGCCTTCCCCTTGAACTGGAAGGCATATCGACATTGAGATCGAAAAAGCTCGTAGTCGAATGCCTCCCCTGGAGCTTGAACCCATCGTGTCAAATGGATAGTGCATAGATTGTTGCGTTGATGACATCATCTCCATATTAAGGTCAAAGAGATTTGCAGATGAATGCCTTTCCCTTGAACTGCATGCGATGTTGCCATACGGATTGTTTGTCGACCCTCCTCGGTACATATCGTAAGGAGTTGCAGATGAATGTCTCCCCATTATGACATTAAAATCATTATACATTACTGTCGTCGGGCTGTCAACTTGTTCAGCCAGCCCATAGTGGGAGCTTAATGACTGACCCCGAGTAGCACACACTTAAACAAAATTTGTATACATCTCAATATCGGCGTCTAAATAATTACTTTGAGATTCAACCATCACTTCAACATCATCATTGTTCGAAAGTTTGAACGTTGTATAAGTTAATGGCAACAATGATGTTGGAAATCTGTACTACAACAACGACATTCTTCTACTACTTCCAACATGAACCTTCCTCGAAATCTTCGTTATCAGCTCCTCAATAGTTAAGTTTCTCTTGAATGATATTTTAACACGTCCATTTGATACGAAAACAAAGCCGGTTTCATCTTCTCGAATTTCACCATCATAATAAACAATAGCTGAAAGTCGTGTTATTCTTTGAGTTTAAAAGTGCGACAATATTATATCTGCAAAAAAAAACAACTGAAACAAACCTGATTAAATAAATAATATATGAACGAAAATATAACATAATAAAATTTTTACACATAAACGTATAATATTTTTTCAAATAATCATAATAATCAATAAGTATAATAAAAAAAATTATAACAAAATTACCTTATAACGAAAAATCGCACGAACTTCTGAATCAAATATGAGAAGATTGCTGGAATTATTGACTCGTTGACGGAATTGTTGTATTAATTTATAAGTTAAAAGGGGAAATGTTAGGAGATGTGAGGAGTTTACCATGTGAGAAGGGTATTTATAGCTGAGAAAATTAGCTATAAATATACAAGGCGCGGTACCTGCACCGCGTCTTATATAATTGTATCAGTTAAAGGTAAGGCGCGGCCCCTGCCCCGCGCTATATATAATTGATAACGTGTAACTTCTAACTCGTGCAAAGACATGAATCATGGAAAGGTTTGTGTTATATGTCTACATTTGCTGGTATTGTGAACGTCCTTGTGGTGAATATGAGTATTGATTGTTTGCTCCATTAGCCTTTCAGCCTTTTGTAGGTTAAAGACCCATGCTATTAGGCACTAACTAAAGAAAAGTGTGATTCATCTGCTGAGGTTAACGTGTATGGTGCTGTGGGCAATATTCTATTGATCGATTGAAATAATAGAATGTTTTAGTGATCTTCTTGAGGGATTGATTGGCAAACGTAGTAGTGACTTACAGTTTAATTTGGTAACAAATAAATTTCATCGGTCCCAAAAAGTATTAGTATCCCTTGTGCTAAGTTTGTTGGATTTGAGAATTTACAATATGGTAAAATATACCTTTCTTTTTCCCCTACCTATTGAAGATTTCATTGCAAGAATGTTGGTCTCTCGTGTAATTGTAGTTATTTGTATGCTTTAAATTAAGTTTCCTTTATTATATCATTCGTAGATACGAGCATCTGCAAATTACTCTGCTGGGAAATGAAAAACAGTGTATTGCTATCATGTTATATATACTTTGTCGAGTGCTTTTGAAATTGTATATGCTCTCTTGTTATCAGTTACACACAGAAAAAGCACCTTGCAGGTGTTACGGAGATATTTAACATGCTTCCCTGGGAGAAGAAGCAGCGCCTTTTTAAGCTTGGCTACATTGTCGTTCTCCTCTTTTTCTCCACGTTCTGGTAATTCGTTGGTTTCGTCAAACACTGGGTTCTCCCTCTAAACATGTTACTTTTTCTCTTTGTAGCTGCTAACATGGGAACTTTTATATTTATTTTATAGGATGATCTGGTCAACATTATGATATGGAAGATTAATTGGAGACGACGACAGCTTTCTTATGTTGAACAATTGTTTCTCAAACTGCTGCTGTGCATTGGACATCGACATTATTTCAACTTGTGTCTCTTGTACACTGATATAGCATAAATCCCAAGGTTGTATGATTGTGAGAATCAGCTGATTTTATGTAAAATTTTCGGTCATCTGAGTATACTCTTGACATGACATCCCAGTAATTTTTGTTTCTCATTTTCAATTGCAAAGAACTTTGCAAAAGAAACGAAAAATAAGTATTTCTGTCAATTTAGTCTTAAATCCTTAAATTTTTAACAAATTTAGCTATTACCCTTTACAAAAGGTGTAAATTATGAGTTGGAGTTTAGAATCATGACCAAATTGATACAATGGGCTAATATTGAGGTTATTAAAATTATGTAAAATCGATGGAAAATACTGACATTATGATTTTTTTTAATAGTTTGTGATGATTTTAAGGTGATATTTGCATATAATTTTTATTATTCATGACAAAATGCTTTTTTCATCACTGAAGTTACACAATATTGTCTTAAAACTCTAATTAATTGATACTGGTTTCTTTTTTTAATTATTAATATGGATAAGTATAAAGTAGTATTTGTTCAAAGATAATTTTAATCATTTGACATTAAACGCTCGTACCCAACGGCGGAACACAATAGAGACTAGTGGGGACCATACCCCAAAAAAAATTGATAAATTATAATTTAGACCTTTAAACTTTCAAAATATTTAATTTGTCCCCCATAAAACTTTTAGAAATTTATATTAATCTTTCAAAAAATTTAATAATCTTAATTAAACCCATTCTATAATTTTTAAAAATTCTCATTAAGCCTATCAAATTTTCAAAAAGTTTAGTTAGATCCCAATTTTTATGAAAAAGTGTAAATTGAACCTTCAAAATTTTAAAAAATGTTAATATTAACCTCTATTTTTTTTAAGTTTTAAGATGATCTCCAAACTCTATCACCAAATTCCGTCACTGCTCGTATCCTGATATTCATAATACTTAAACCCAAAAACTTAAAACTCAAAAAATAATACCTATGACTTTATTTGAGATCGTTTGGTTTGTGAATAAGCCGACTTCTCTTTTCTTATTGCCTTATTGGGATCACTTTGTCCAATTTGTTTGGTTATTGCATCAAACCTAATTCAACCGGCAACGATTTGTTCGTGAACAAGTCTACAATAGTAACGGCTCCACGAGATCCTAGCTATATCATCCACGCCTTAATCTTCTTCTGCCTAATAGAACTGCCTTCGGATTCTTCAAACCTCAAAAACAATGGCCACTTCACTTAATTCAAATCTTTATCAGCCCTCCCTCAGGTTTTATTTATCTCACTGTATAACACATATACGGTGTATTTTTATACGTATATACATGACATGGGTATTTTGTATTTTTCTTCGTTTATTTTTTTGCAGTTGTGGGACTAAGCTTTACTCTGGTTTGAAGCTTCAATCTCCCTGTATGTTCGTTTCCTCTCTGTAGTCTATTCATACTCTTTTTTTAACATCTACCCTAAATTTGACCCCTTTTTTGTAATTATTAATATTCCAAAGGTTTGTTTGCAAGTGGGAGACCAAACTTAACAGCAGATTTCTATGCCAGAGTTAATAAGAGTCTCCAATGCAGGTAACTAGTCTAATTTTAATTTATTAGTTTTTATTAATTGTGTTTAATGGCCTTTAATTGGAGATTTTGAGTCGTTTCTTATTTATTTTGATTATGCCTCTCTTGGGCAACTTTGCATTTCATAAATTTCGACTTTTGGATTTTACAATGTGCTTCTTGCCAATGAAAATCACGTGCAACTGCTTGAATGTTGTTTTTGGTTCCAAGAAAAGGCAAAAGAGCGGCTTTTAATGTTTATGTTTGATTCAAAGTTTGCTCCTTTAAGGGTTTGTGGCATGATTGGTGGCTACTTTGTATATGTTGCCTGCCTTTAAGGCATGGAAAAGAGGGAGCTTTATATGATGTAGTCTCGACTATATGATACATGGAAACTCCATACCGAATTAGTTCCTCAAATCGATGATTGTGCATTTTTGCAGAACGGAAAACTGTAAAGCAACAAGGGCTCGAGTACGGATGATGCCTATCGGAACTCCTAAAGTTCCCTACAGAGTTCCTGGTGAAGGAACTTGGCAATGGGTTGATTTGTGGAATGCTCTTGTGAGTAAACTTAGCTCATTCTACATTATAAGATTGGAGAACCTAGTTTTAAAATTAAAAGATTGTAGCATGCATTCTTTGGGGTCTTTTTATCTTGGAGATGCTTACAATCTACCCTTGTAATCTTTCTTTTACTGTTCTGTTATATGAATACTTTTCAGTTTGAAAAATGGTTTGAGAATCTGTTACGGCATCTCCTTTATTTTCATTGTTGCCTGAATCTTTTTCAAACAAGCTTTAAATTCTATTATGGCTTCTAGAGCCTAATGACATACTTTGAATGCAGTATCGAGAGCGAGTTATCTTCATTGGACAACATATAGATGAGGAATTTAGCAACCAAATACTTGCAACGATGCTATACCTTGATAGTATTGATGATAATAAAATGCTTTATTTTTACATTAATGGTCCTGGTGGAGATGTAAGTTTCATTTTAAATCCTTTGTTGATCTATATATTTCTATCTCTAGTTTCTTTATTTTTGGTCACTATCTGATATAGACTGGCTTTGTTTACAGCTTACTCCAAGCTTGGCTATCTATGACACCATGCAAAGCTTGAAGAGTCCTGTCGGCACCCACTGTGTGGGCTATGCCTATAATCTAGCAGGCTTCCTTCTTGCAGCTGGCGAAAAGGTATTTCGATGTAATGATGGCAATGAAAAAAATGCTGTTGCTTCTGACCTAATTGGGCCTTTTGTAACCTGTGATCTACTAGATTATGAAATTTTATTTAATGTCTTATGTGATGCATCTTTTATTTGAATCTGAAATCGGAAATATGATATAATTCTTTCTTGTTTCCTATACATGGAGGGTAATCGCTTTGCAATGCCTCTTTCAAGAATTGCTCTACAGTCTCCAGCTGGTGCGGCTCGTGGTCAGGTATGACTGCAGGCTATCTTCTTGTGAATTACATTAAACTTTTTCATTGTTATGATTTTGATGATGTTAACATTATCTGATGTCGACAGGCCGATGATATCCGGAATGAAGCAAATGAACTTCTTAGAATAAGAGATTACCTTTACAGTGAGCTAGCCAGGAACACAGGCCAGCCTGTTGAGAAGGTGATGTTAACAACTCGAGCGAATGTTTTTGTTTTCAGCCAGCACTTCCCGTTTTGGCTTGAGCAGTTTCTAAACACAAAACATTCACATTAAATCTCTCATTCGCTTTCTCTTCTGAAAGTTCATTTGTTTTACTCTTATCCCTTGAAACCGAAGTGACAATGATTGTGCACATGCAGATCAACACGGATTTAAGTAGGATGAAACGCTTCAATGCTCAAGAAGCTCTTGAATATGGACTTATTGATCGTATAGTCAGGCCACCTCGTATCAAGGCCGACGCACCTCGTAAGGAGGCCGGAACAGGCCTTGGTTAGTGTTCTTTTTCATTTCCCCACCAAATGGACTGTAGGTGTAATACAAATTGTTATTCGATTTACCGTATTGCATTAAAAAAGGTGTTGCATTCGAATGCTCTGAAGTTAATAACACCGATAAAAGTTTTCGAAAGAGCTAACCTTGTGAATACAAGTTCTTTCATGAAAAGCCTGAGACGTTGATGCATGAATGATCTATTGGGGGAAACTCTTATTTATCAACAATTTAATTATCCATTAAGCTGGAGTGCTTGTTCCCTGCCCTAACCAGTTGAGGTGTCTTGTTCCAAGTCTAGCATAATATGGTTAACGAACATTGGGTTTGATAAATTACTTCTGAGTTAACTAAGTTAAATAAATGACTATGAATAAATATTTTATAATCATTTATTTTTTGTATGATTAATTATCGATATTTAATCCACCAATTAATTAGTTAGGTATCGTTTTATTAAGTCATTTGACTATTAGGCGTTGCAAAATTATCCTCCAATTATGGGATATGGTTTTTTAAGTCCTTTAACTATTTATATGTTTCAAATTTGTCATTCTCTGTTAAAAATATGATGGAGGTTTGATCTGAAATGTTAAATTGCTGGATGAGACATGATAAATTATATTTTAATGATATTTTTTAACAACGTCGTTGTTTCAAACTCTAACTCGACGACATAATGTTTCAAGAACCAACTTGATAATGTATTGTAAACAAAAACTCAATCTATAAAATACAACTCAAACAGCTTTGAAATTAGATTTTTTTTCCATATGCCAATGAGTAAGTTAACATTCAGCTCAGACAGTCTTTAAATTTTAACGAAAAATACGAATTTGAAACATATAAATAATCAATTGATCATTTTATAATTTTTAATAGTCAGAATATTAAAAGAATAATGTTTGTAGTCAAAAAATAATTTTTATTTTTGATAATCAAGAAACTCAATAACACAACATAATATAATCGATCATTAATATACTTTACCCTATAAATGAACGTAGGGTAATTTATTTAGCGATCGTGTTGATCATAAATTGTTTCCATTAAGGCCCGATCTTATGTATATTTGGGTCGAGTGAGTAATGTGTATAATGGAAGTCGATTGCACAAACTACATAAGATAGAATGCAAAGATCAAGCCAGATATATTTGAAGTAAACTGAAAACTAAACATTCCTTGATACCATTTTTTCTATGATAGAATCAAACAAAGCTGCGCCAACAATGCCAATAACATCAACTGCGCCTCCAAGCTTTTTCAGAACCTTTCCACTTTGTCGGCTTTAATGACTGGATTCGCCTTGACAATGGCGTCGCGTCCTGCACCCTTAAAATCAAAGGCGCATTCGTGTTTTTCCGGATAACGATGCTCGCCGCAGAAAGTACTTTCGCACCTGCACTTAAATCCAGTTAATCCAACCTTCTTTCTGCAAATAAAGCACCTGTTTCCCACCCTCGGCTCCGCCGGTTTATCATCGGCAACAACAGATGGTTGTTGCTCAACCACGGTCGAGGATGAACCCACATGGGACACCTCAAGAACAGGCGTCAAAGTCTCTACAACCTCATCTTCCTTCATAGTTTTGACTCTTAGAGTTTTCTCCATGGCAGCTTTCACCTGGACAGCTTGCCCCTCCCCGGCACGGAGGTCCAGATAACATTTGGAACAGAGATTCATATTCACTGCCGTGCCGAAAAACCCACAGCCGTTGGCGCAAAGCTTTGGCTCCGATGGTGGTGGAAAGCTAGTTCCTTCGTTTTGTTTTGAACCCATGGTTTCTATTCATCTTCGCGCGTTTACTTTCGGTTTCTATAATCAACTATGAGAAAATCTTTAGTGACGTTTGGTTGGATGAAATCTTTTGGAATTGGGGAAATTAGAATCTAATTCCATCATTTTTTTATGTTTGATTCAAATTTTTCAAAGGAATTGGAATCTCTCATGACTTTAACTTTTCATCAAATGAGGGAAAGTGAATTTCATCCAGGAATTGATGTAATTCAATTCTTTTGTTGGAGGGAATTAAAATTTGACCATACTACCCTCATCAATCTTTTGGTAACTTATTCATATATTGAATAAAAATAGTTTTTTATTATTTCGGGTCGGGTCGGGTTTCTAATTCATATATTCGGGTCGGGTGAAATTTTATTTTTGGTCGGGTCGGGTTGGTTTTTTAAGTGTGATATTTGGGTCGGGTCGAGTTCGGGTTTAGGGTGAAAAATACCCGACCCGAAAATATATATAATTTTACCTTATATATTTAGGAATAATTAAAATAATACTCATCTCTATATATATATATATATATATTTTAATTAAGTTATTTTTTTTATTGAATAAAAATATTTTTTTATTATTTCGGGTCGGGTCGGATTTCTAATTCATATATTCGGGTCGGGTAGGGTGAAACTTTATTTTGTTCGGGTAGGGTCGGGTTTTTTAAGTGTGATATTCAGGTCGAGTCGGATCAGGTTTTTTTAAGTGTGATATTCGGGTCGGGTTTGGGTTTAGGGTGAAAAAAATCGGACCGACCCGAAAAAAATATATAATTTTACTTTATATATTTAAGAATAATTACAATAATACCCCTCTATATATAATTTTTTCAATTAAATCAATTTTTTATTGAATAAAAATATTTTTTTTTGTCATGTCGGGTCGGGTTTTTAATTCATATATTGAATAAAAATAGTTTTTGCTATATTTTTTGGTAACTAATTAACATATTCCAATTGGAATGTATCGAAATATTGCTATATCTTTTGATAATTTATTAACATATTTTTATTGAGATGATTTTAACTTATGATGTTTATTAGCATGATTTTTATAATTTATTGAAATGAATAATCAATTAATAAAATAAAATTTTAATATTTTTTTAATTTTTTATAATATATTACTACATGTAAGTTGTAAAATAAACTAAAATAAAATAAAAAAAAATAAGAATGACAATTTTGTTATTTTATATTACTGAAATCAAATTCATGTGACATGTCTGTGAACCAAACCCTGTCAACCAAACATAATATGAAATTTGATTCCAATTCCTGACAGATTTTAATTCTTTCATAGATTCTAATTCCTTCATAAACATTCCAACGAACCAAACGACATCTTATGGCTTTGTTTAAGAGTTGTTTTGATCCTTGCAATAAAAATATATAGATTTTGATTATTTTCTCTAATCCTAAAATAAACGTGACTTTAATTTAGATATTAACGAATATACCCCTACTGCCTGATGTTCTTTAGAGTATTATCGCACATGTAAAAGATCGCGTAGCTTTATAAACCACTGGGCTGACAAGTAAGCGGCTTTAGATATTTAAACAATAAATGGTAAAAGTCGAATAAATTCCTAGACAGCTCTTCTAGCGAGAAGTGTTAAAAAAAAGGGTAATTTTGTCTTTCAAATGCCCGTTTAACCTGGGCCCGTCGACAATCCACCAAGGATCCAATTAAATCATAATATACCAATCCATTTCCCAAATTAACACGTTAAAAATCCCTATTTAACATCAGTCCATCGGAATAAATCGAGTGGTAACCAGTAATTATGAGTCAAATAATAAAAGAGTAAATTACACAGATACTAGTAAATTATGGTCAAAAATTAATGTGACTATCAAACTTTTAATTAAATTAATCAGATTATCCAACTATTTAATTGATTCAATCAAACTATCAACCATTAATTTTTAACAGAGATAATGACATGTTTGTTAATAAAATTGACATAATTATATATTTGGTCCTTAATATTTACATATTCTATCAATTTCATCACTATTTTAATTGAGTTAAATAAAATTTAATTATCCAATTAGAACATGACACGTGCCAATACATGATTAAAATATTTATTTATAAATTTAAAATTATTTAATTAAATAATTTTTTTATCCAATCAGGTGGTGACACGTGTCACCACCAATTAAAATAAAAATAAAGGAATCCAACATGTTTAAAAAGTGAATCAAACTTGTGTTAAGGGGAGAAGTTACTAGGCGCCCAAACCATTGGGTTAAATGTCACAATGGTTTAAGCTTACAATAATTTATATTTAATTTGTAAAAGTTTGTTAATTATAAAAAATTAAATAAATTATTTGTTTAAATAAATTATTATTTAAATTAATTGTAATTTTTTTGAATTAAAAATATTCAGTTTTTATACAAATTAGAAAATTTTAAAAAAAATTAGTTAATTCAAAAATTGATTGAATTAATCAAAATTTATCCAGTTCGATTAATAATTTTTAAATAAATTTCGATTCGATTACTGATTAAATAAAATAAATCGGTTAATTAAGTTTGGTTAATAATTTTTAAATAAATTTTAATTCGATTAAATGTTAAAAAAATCGGTTAATTTGATTTAGTTAATCAAACTAAAATTTATTTAAAAATTATTAATCGAATGAATTAATCTATTTTTTTAAATTATTAAACGAATTAATTAAAACAAAAATTCGATTAATTCAATTTAGTTAATCGAACCAAAATTTATTGAAAAATATTAATCAAACCAAATTAATATAAAATTTATTAACCGAACCGAATTAATCGATTTTTTTATAATTATTAACCGAATTAATTGAAATAAAAATTCGGTTAAAACGATTTAATTAATCGAATCAAAATTTATTTAAAAAATTATTAATCAATTTTTAAATTAAACAAAAAAATTAAATTTTTTTAATTTATATATAAATTAAATATTTTAAATTAAATAACTAAATATTTTAAATTAAATAACTAATTTATAATTAATTTAAATTATAATTTATTTAATTAAATAATTTAATTAAATTTTTAAAATTAATAAATTTTTACAAGTTAAATACAAATTGTTGTAAGTTAAGAAATTAGAAAACTTTGACTCAATAGTTTGAACGTTTGATAGCTTCTCTCCTTTGACACAAGATCAATTTTGCTTGCAAGTATGTTGGATCTCTTAATTTTTAATAAAAATTAACGATTAGTGATTTGATTGAATCAATTAAATAATTAAATGATCTAATTAATTTAATTAAAAAATCAATTATCACATTATTTTTTTACTTTAGATTTTATTATAGTTTAATGGTATTCCGAGTAGTTTACCATTATGAAAATAGATAACTTCCTAACATTTCTTAAAAACCCAGAAGCAGAAAATCCAAATCGAAAAAAAAAAACAAGCATACCTCGTTGATTCGATGATCGGAGGTTGTTTGCTTCTCGTTTTCTTCTTTCTTCAGATCAGCGTCGATCGATGAGAAAAAAAGTGAAGAAATCCGACAATAAAAAAGAAAGAAAAAGGAATTCGATAACAGAAACAACATAAGAGACTTGATTCCTTTCTTGCTGGTAATAAACAGGAACAGATGAGAGAAGAAAAAACGAAATTGAAAACTCGAAATTAGACCAAACCCAAAACGACGACCTTTAAAATTTTGGTTTTGGAGTTTGGTTTTGTCCCTACGGCACCCACGGTTTTATGTCGACGTGGCAGGGGTACACGGTATTGATAGGGTCGAGAATACTGAGCTGTTTGATTTAATCCGTTGATGTGGTGACATCAAAATTTCCGTTATTCACGGTCAGTGGTGTGGGACCGATCTTTCTGAGGAAGGGTGTTTAAGAAATTTTAGAAGCTGTTATATTAAAATTGTGTTTTAATTTACATGTGATACTTAACTTTTATTTTTCTAAAATATATATTTAATTCTTTTATTCTATTAAATATTTAAATAAGCTGAACTATACGAAATATCACTTAACTTTAAATGTTATATCATTTATGGTATTGAACTTTCAATTTGATCAATATAGTATTAAACTTGAATTTATATTTCAATTATATCAATGAATCATTAAATTATTAACGATGCAGTAATATCACTAACAATTGTTAATGTGAATATCACATCAAAACTACGTTGTTTCAATGGAATTATTTTGATAATTAAAACAAATCAAAATAATTTTGTTTTTTAAGTAAAAAATAGAGTTAATCAAACCCAAGCCATTTAAGATACAAAGTTAACACTTAATTACCGGATTAATTTAAGTTTTTGAAATATTTGTAACACAAGCAAAATTAGGGTTGTTTATAGACGGTTAATCTTACCGTTTAAGTTAAATTTCTTTATTATGCACCAACTTAAAAGAAGTGTTAAATTCAAATTTAACTCAAAAAATAAATTTAAAAATATCCAAATTACTAATGAAAACAAAGTACTTTTTATAGTACGAGATTGAAATATTATTCAATGAAGCATTAAACAAAAAGTCAAATGTAATTAAAATATATTTTCAATGATTAAAAAGAGTTTTGTTTGTTTTTTAAGTTATGAATTCGAATAATTATATTTGTAGAGTATAAGTCGTTAATTACTAAGAAAAATTTTATCCAAATATTATTGTATAATCACTCTAGACTAATAAAAAATATATATACCTTCAATTAAATAAAGTTTCATGTACAATTTTTATGAAATGAATTTGAGTAATATACTTTTTCTTTCTTTCGAATATTGTGTGGAACCCAAAATTTCTCTAAATAGTTATCTATTTTTCTTATTGTATTCATTCTTAAATTTTATTTATGTACCTCACATAAAAATTTTATGTTATTAATATATGTATATTTATCCTAAAAAATATTTATAAATCCACTATTAAATGTAAGTATATATCCTTTATATTGTTGACTATTGTATCTGTTATCAAGTGATTTTATAATGATTGATAGCAGAGAAGTAAGTCAAGATAAGGTGCTCCCTTCTAGGTTTGTCTTTCTCTCGGTTTTATTGAAAGATTTTAATGATTCTTAGGTGGTGTTTGTTTTTGAAGAGGTAAAAGGTCTGCAGTCTGTGGACCACATCTGCAGACATCTGCAGCAGAAGAGGTGGACCAAAATTCTGCAGTGTGTAAGAAGAAGACTGTTTGTTTTTTAACGTCTGCAGACTGCTAAAATAAACTGAAATATAAATAAACTGATTTTTTAAACTTAAACGAGTTTTGCAATACCGAGATTTAAATAATTTTAGTTTTACAATACTGAAATTTAAATAATTCATACAACTACAATAATAAATTTTTTTAGAAAAACAAACACCACCTTATTAATTCTATTATAAGTCTCACATAATCACATGTATTATTGGTTTTATAAGTTTTATAGAATAAAATTTATAAATGATCATTAAATTATATGATTTTTTTAAACATTAAATTATCTACAGTTATATAATAATATTAAATTTTGAATTTTATTATCATATGGCACAACAACATTAATTATCATTAAACTATTATTAATCAATGAATTATACACCTCTCTTTTTTTTAAACATTAATTATCATTAAACTATTATTAAATATGCAATTATGTTTTTAATTTTTTTTAAATATATATTCATAATTTATTTTATAATTATATGATTTTTAGAAAATATTTTTTAATTTATCAAATTATTTTATGATTATTTTTTATTTAATTGTGATTATATTTTAAAATTTTAAAAACATAATTTATAATTTTTTATATTTTAAAATCTTAATTATCAAACAATGAAATCGTTTTTTATTAAGCAATGTGGTTTAAATACTTACATTTCGTATTATACATTAAATCTTTGGTTGCCTAATTGTTACATTCACAATTCCGAAAAATAAATTTTTCTGAAGTTTGTCTATTTGTAAGCATACATAACCCTGAGCGCTTTCATCATGATAAGCATTGAGGGCATACGGGAGCAAAAACTACAAAACCGACACTTGCGTCCGTGATTCAGTATAACCCAAATATTTCATTGTAGTGTTTCTTTATCAATTCATCACTGTATCTCAATTAATTCAAATTAGTCTTTGCATTTTTCCATAAAGAAGGATAAGAAAGCAGAGTAACTAGTCAGTCCTCACCTCCAGAGATTCGGAATTGTAAAAGAAATGCCTGCACAAAATGCTCCACCAAGTAAAGGTACCTAAAACAAATAATTAAATCAGGCAAAAGTAGAAACTTAACTTATAGATGCTTGATATGACATATCATTCAAACCTATCACATTGAGTTGTATAAATAGATATGACTCCATCCCCCATAAATGATAAAATGAATCTGTTGGAAGGATTTCCCAACAAGAGCAAGGAACAAAAAATCTATAGAATAAAATCATTGCACAAACTTAACTACCAATAGATAGAAGTGCACAAACGAGCAAAATCCTTACTTTTGAGTTAAAATGGAAACATAATGAATGCAGGGGATAGATTTTTATCAGCAAGAACTTGGTACTTTACACATCCAGGTTGAGTGATCAATTCCAGTCTAAAAATGAGTTTTTCCCTTCAAGATGACACCCAAAAGAAAAGAAAGAAAGAAAACTGGTTCCATGACAATTCATGCATCAACTAAAATTTAAAAGACTTATCTTTATCTAGACAATGATAGACTAAGAAAGTATCAGAACTTACAAGATTAAGAGGAAAACCTCACCATACCCCAAGAGAGACCCTTCCATGATTCAAAACCAGATTTATCTCCGTATTCCCACACCAAAGCCATTGCTGTTATCCTTTTGTCAAGACAATCTCATTAGCATCGTCATCAATAATTTCAATTCAGAGGATACAAAGGGAATCATAACAGTCAATAGTTTTTTATCAAGTGAGATCCTTGGAAGGAATTATTATGATGCCTCTAACAATGATGTTTCGCATCTTAATTTGTTCCACAGAATATCCCTTCCTTTCTTAAGCTTAGATAATCACATTAAGAAAAAAAGGACCAAAGATTGGCAAAGTACCCATGAAAATAAAACGCATGAAGAAACCAAATACCCGAAGTTAAGAGAAGAAAATATCCTCACCATTCAACAACACTGGAGACGTGTATGGCCCAAGTGGGCAAAGACAAGGCATTGGCGGGTTCACTGAGCTGCAAAGAAGTGCCAAGCAACAACGGCGGCAACTCGTAGGCCGAAGCGGAACCTGCAAAAGCCAAGGCCAGAGCTGACCCGACTATGCCAATCGTTGGTTTCGGATTCAAAACTAAGCCCGAAATTGACAACTTTCGAGTCTGTGGCCTGGTTTTCTGAGGAATTTCGGGGTGACTAAGAGTTGCAATAGTACGAGTTTGCTTGAAAATGGGTTTAGGAGAGCAGAGGACGGTCACGTTCGCCATTGTTGGAGATTTTGGCAGTGATTTCTTTAGTTGGCCGGATTTACTTTCCAGAGACTCGTCTTTAATATTTTATAGGGACACTTTATTCTTTTCGGCATACATTAGATTCAGAAAAGTAAGGTAAATAGTTGGGGTAGTTCTGAAGAAGATAAGGTTCAGATGAGGGTGTGGTTTAAAACCTATGACAGAATCAACACTTGTAATTAGCTCAGTTCCTTTACTTGGTAGATATTACATATGCCAAATCCCAAATTTACTAAACTAATCACTCAGCATAAAAGTATAGAAATGAGGAAAAAGATTCTAATTTTATCTACTTGTCAAGAATGAAACTGTACACAAATTACAAGGATTTCATTCTATTTTCAGTAGGCTGAACTCCACCGTTCCGATTATTTCATCATCGCATTGCAGCAAAAGTTTATGCATCAAATGACAATGGTTTGACATATGAACTCATCATTCTCCCGTTATTCTGTTTTATTTGCCAAAATCATGACCAGAGCGAATCCCATCAAAGACATGATTACAGTCTGCAAATCCCAAAAACGAGACGGTTAAGGATCAAGTTATGAGCAATCTGTTTTAACCAGAACTAACTACTTCAAACCCCGAAATAAATATAAGAAAGAACATTTGAAAAGATGGGATATGGATTGTAGGGGACTAAAAGGAACTAATTTGAAAAAGCAAATATTGTATATGATTCATTGGGGGTAAAGGCAACAAAAAGGCTTACGGAGATAGCTGAAGGCACGCTCACAAGTGGATCCTGAAAGAACCGGTTAGCAAGCGCAAGCGCAAGCGCCAAAAGACTGCTTTGCATTCCTGCAGTATTAAATATATCAGCAATGGTGCAAATTAACAAGACGGAAAAGAAAAAGCGTTCTCACCTATCTCAAAGGATAGAGTTCTCTGCAACGCTTTCATATCAGGCGCGTTATGGAAGACCAGACCACTAAAGAAATAACCAGCAATGAATGCTGATAAATGGAATGCAACAATGAGCAACAGAAGAGTTAAACCAAAAGGGGACAAAACCGAACTAATGTTAATAGCGAGTGGTGCTCCGACACAACAAGCTGTATCAAGTACAGCAAGCGGCGGCAAAAATGGCCTCATGGAATTACAGAGATGAGGGAACAACCTGCAAACACATTAGATAGGAACTTCTTTAGAGATATTATCAAGTTCAACCACATTTTGGGGTTAGTGTATCACCAATTCAGAAGCAATCCTACTGTAATAGGAGCAATAACAATCTGCAGAATGCTAGAAACCATTCCCAGGACATCAACGGGCAGTCTTTTCCCAATAAGCAGGAGAGACAACATTGGTGTAACAAAAACAGCAGTAGCAGTAGATAACAATGTCATAACAATCCTTAATCCGGCTAGTGGTGGATCTGTCAAAAATGTAGCATAATTTGAGAGCTGGGCACCACTTACACAGGATACCAACATAATCCCAGCACCTGATTCACATAACCACATTTGTAAGCATAAACTCTATAGTATTTTTAGGCAAGATAGAGAGAACTAATCTTTAATAGCATTGATCACAAAGACAAACATAGATGCACCTAAAGGAGTGGGAAGACCAAACGCGGTCACAGCTAGTATTCCAAAAATATATCCAAGCGGGGGCTTCACAACAAATTGACCGACATAACCAACCTGAAGATATTAATTTTTTATCCATATTATTATTATTAATAATAATATTATTATTATTATTATTACTATTATTATTATTATTATTATTATTATTATTAATAATAATAATATTATTATTATTATTATTATTACTATTATTATTATTATTATTATTATTATCATTATTATTATTATTATTAAATATATATTAAACATATATATATAAATAATAATTACAGACCAATTACAACTGGACCGGCCCAGTTACAAACAAACCAGAACCGGTCCAAATCAAACCAGAAACCCTAAACATTTGGGTTTCCAGTTAGGGTTTCCTAACCCTAATCTAAACCAGCCGCCTCAGCTTGCTGCCGTTGGATTTGGCAAGATCCAACGGTCCAGATGGCTCCAGAGGGAAACCCTAGGGTTTGATACCCTAGGGCCACGCGGCGCCGCCCCAGTTTCCACGCGGCTGCCGACACTTTCTCGCCGCCTCCGCCGCTGCCACGTCCCAAATGAAGACTCCAGAAGATCAACGCCAGCCGTCCATGCCATGGCTACGGGGTGAGTCACCACTGGTAATCCGGTGACTCACCGAGACCCCATCTTCGGACTGGTCCGATGGCCACACCGGTGGTGGCTATAAAAGCCACCACCCCAACCTGAAAAAGAAAAAGAGACGGAGACAGAGAAGGAAGGAAAAAAGACAGAGAACACAGAGACAGAGAGAGACAAAACAGAAAAAATATATACATACTACCAACGATCTCAGCAGCAAAGCAACAAAAAAAAAGAAGGAAAAAGGAAGAAAAGAAACTTACCAAGGAAGCCCCGACCACCGGATCTCACCGGAACCTTCGAAACACCGAAGGTACTTTTGTAGATTCGCTCCGATTGGGAGCTTTTTAGGAGGAAATAACACCGGAACAGTCCTTAGGACGGTCCGATCTATCTATTAGTGTAAAAATATTTTTTTCCGGCCACCGGATGCGGTTGCATTCACGGCGGCACACGGTGGCCGACCGGTGACCGGCTTCCCTCCGATGAGGGAAGCTAGAGAGAAGGCAGAGAAATTTGTTCTCTCTCAGTTAGAGAGAGAACAGAAATGAAAAAATGAAGGCTGGCCCTTCGGGCCAGCCGGTTTTAGACCATATATAGGCCTTCCCGAACGACGTCGTTTTGGGAAGGACTATGCGCGTAATTATAGAATAGTTAAACCACGTCCGCAGTCATCCCAATTTGTAAACTTTACATTTTAGTCACTAAATCAAATTTATAATCCTTTTAATTTGGTTCTTTAATTTTAATTTTATTCATTTTAGTCCTTTATATTAAAATAATATATTTAGGATAAATAGCAGATTTAATCCCTTAATTTTAATAAATAATATTTTAATCCTTAGTTTATATTTTTAATTTATTTTATTATAATATCCGAATTTTAGATAATTTTATTTTAGTCACTAAATAAATAAAATAAAGAAATAGCATGTTTAATCCCTAATACTTTGATTAATATTGAATTAAGTTTTTAATTTTACTATAATTTAGTCATTTAATTTATAAGTTTTCATTTATTTTATTGCTTTTAAAATATATTGTTTTAGTGGTATTTTTATTGTTTTAATTTTATTTGTTTATATTTTTAAATATTTTTATGTATTCATAAATATATATATAATAAATCTGGAATAAATTTTTTAATGTTTATTTTTAATATCGAAGAAAATGACAGTCTTAATACAACTGGATGTCCTATTCTGATATTTTTTTAAACAATATTATTTAAATTAATATTTATCAATATCAAAGAAAAGAGCTGTCTTAAGGCACCTAGAAGTTCTTTTCTGATATTTTTAAATAAATAAATATTTTTTTATATAATTTTGAAATAATAGGATTATAAATTAAATATATTTTTGAATTTTTATAATTTTAATAATAGAGACAATTTATAATTAAAAAGTACCAATTTTGGGCGTTGTAGGGGTGCTAATCCTTCCCTAAAACGTAACCGACCACGAATCCCTTTTTATTATTAAGAACGAATTTTTGGTTATAAAACGCAGATCAGTTCATTTTTTTAATTGATGTTTTTTTTAAAAACTCTTTTAAAAGAAAAATTTTTAGGTATTCGACCTACCTGATCCAAAAGGTCGATGGCGACTCACAAATTATTTTCAAAATTATTTACACATCAATTTCCCCGCCAAAATAAATATTTCGTGCCCGGACGAAATCCGGTTACGACAGCTTGGCGACTCTGCTGGGGACTGGTCAAACTTTTAAAAATCAATTATAAATTGTCTCTATTAATTATAAATCATATATTTAATTTATAATTTTTTGTTTATATATATATATACATATTATTTTTATAGTATTTATATATATTATTTCATTTTTTATTTACAAGTATTCTATTTCATTATTTATTTTCTGTCAAAGGTTTGAACATTTCTCCTCACACACAATACTTGCATTACATAACATAAAGCTCTATAATTGAGTTGTCCCTTTTAAGTGGGAGTGAAAGCGACGTCTTCGTGAGAATTTATTCTCCGTGTCAGACCTAGCAAGTAACTTTCGGGGTTCATATGCTCTATGTCTTCGTGAGAATTTATTCTCCGTGTCAGGCATAGAGAAATGTATCCCCTCGAATTGAACTCGATCCACTTTAGTCTGTGATGGACTAGGATTGAGGGTTAGCAACCCAAGGGGGCACTAACAAGGACAATTCGGGTACCTTGATTCTTAGATCTGAAACCTTGCATATAAAAAAACCTTAGAAACTCTTCCGATCAGAAGTCATGCCGAAATTTTGTCCAAAATAGGTGTACACACAGGAGAAATGAATTCTGACTTTCCTGTTAATTTATTTATTGTTTAAATTACATGTTTATTTAAATTATTTAAATTTAGAAAGGCATGTTTAAATAAAGAATATTTATGTAAATGTTATTATTAAATTTCTTTATTATGTAAACTAATTTATTTTCTTTTTGTGTGTTCTTTATTTTTCTGTTTGCATTGCATCATACAGGATAAAAGACATTGATCCTTGTGTTAATTGTCTCATTGGAAAGCCTTCATCTATGGATAAAAAGTGTTCAAATCAAGTAATTCTAAACTCAGAAGTACGACAGTGGGCTGAGGACTTACAAAGACAAGAAGGAGATAGTCTGCAGGATGATTATGTATCTGACTTGGCCAGTTATGCTCCAGTTTCACTAAAAAGAAATGATACGCAAGATTTGCGAAGCATTTGGGAAAGTTGGGATTCAAACAAAAAATTGCAGTTTTATCAGACTTATGGAGACATCCCATATTTGCTCTATGTTGAAGTTGATGATGAATTACTCAGAGCCTTAATTCAATTCTGGAATCCAGGGTACACTTGCTTCACTCTCAATAAGGAAGACTTGGTCCCTACTATTGAAGAATACACAACTTTGCTACATATAGATGGGGTTTTGGAGAATCGAATCTATTCAAAG